GCAGTGTCACTGGCCCTCATATGTGGGATCTGAACCGGGGCCCTCTGGTGTCCCAAGCCAGCTCTTAATCAACACGCCACTCGGCTGGCCCCCAGCTTTGTTTTTATAAGTTCATTTCTGTACCAGATCCACACTCATCATTAACCTCTCCGTTCTAGGGTATTTCAGCTCCATAGAGCAGTACTAGCAATAACATTCTGCTGTTTTATTGTACATTTACCAAACAGTTGACTATCTGTTCTTTTGGCCAGAATTCGTTGGCCTGTTCTCAGAGCTCTGTCTCAATACATCTTTTAATAACTGTTTTCCAACATAGTTTTCATTTCAAATTTAGAAATGATGTTAATCAATTTACTAGTTCACAATCGAGGGTGAACAGCTTACAATGTTTGTGACAATATTGGATTTATTTATTTCCAAATGAGTGATTTTTAAATAACAGCACATTGTGTGCTTGCTTGCTTTTCGCAATCCAATTTCAGTATCTGAGCAACTTTGCTTTGCTGGTTGACTTCCATTGGGGAAACTGAAAGCGTTTAACTTGTCCTGGTCTTGGATCTTCCCGACATTTCCACACTTCCATGGTGCCCACCACTGGGTTGTGCCACTTGTTTCTCCTTTCACATATTAAGATGATCTCTTGAAAGAGCCCACTTTAGACTCCACTGTTACCTTACTCCTATTATTTTATGTAAGCTTTTTCTTATTATTCTTTTAAAGTCAACAAATTTTGAAATCCCTACAACATGCTAGCAAGGTAGTAGAAACCAACATATAGACGGGTCATTTCAGTAAATGGTGGTAAGGAGTGACTTTGAATAGGTGTGAGCCAGTGTGTTCATATTTATATAAAAACTGAGAAATACCCTGGAAAGTAAGCTTATTGTCAGACAGACTTCTCTAATCCTTCAGTAAAGAGCTCAAGAACTCATCCCTTAAGCGGACAGGGCAAGTTGGCTATTTCCTACTTGTCACAATCAGAATTAGGAACATGGGTTTTTATAATAACATTTGATTTCTGGTAGTTATAGAAAGGGAGCAAAACATCAATAATGGCTCCATCTGAACACCAATGAAGTCCAACTACATGTGGGAGATGTTAAATCAAATCTGTTGAAGAAAAAAAAAAGGGAGGGAGAGAGGGAAATTAAGGGGGGGAAAAAGAAAGAATGCATTATATAACCATTATATGTTAATGGAAAATTTTAACATCTTGAAATACTGTCATATAGTAATTAATTACATACTTTATATTTGTTTACTCCACTGGTTCTTATCATTTAAAGGAAAAGAAGGATTAAATAAGCCCTAAATGTTGCATTATATTAGAATCTTTTTTTTTTCTGCTTTTTAGTTTCAGGTGTATATATTAGGATCTTTCAGCTGCTGCCATAGCTACATAATGGTCAGTCCAACTCCAGGGTTCAGTATTAGAAAGCCAGTTAATTACTCTCTCACTAAACTCTATATTCAACTCAGCGTTTATAAAAAATGAAGGAGATGTTTGTATCTCCCCCTGCTGAAGTTTGAGAAATTTGATGCTCAAGAGTTATTATTTATTGAGGCCCTAAACAAACACATCTAAAACCAAACTAATCATTTACAAACATATGCTCCAGAATTCCACCTGCTGTCTCTCCTAGGTCTCCTCCCTCTATTGCTGGAACACACTTCCCAACTCCCAACACACACACAGAGGGATGAGAAAGGGAATTATCCAGGACCAGCAAAAGTATCGCCAGTCAAAGCCCAAGGCTCAGAGGCTGGGAAGCAGGACTTTGTAGCAGAGCCTGTCTTTGTGCTGTTACATCCTCCCAGACAATCTTTTTGCCCCAGCTGGATGCTCTCTTCTCACCATCAGTGCCACCCTCCATGTACAGGTGATTATTCTCTCCTTTTGTGTTAATGTGTAGGCTCAGCTGCTATAATAATAAGACCCAAAGCTATAGTGGCTCAAACCAAATGAAGTTTATTTGTCTCTCCTCAGTGCAGAGGCAGGTGGATGGTCCAGGCCATAGGCACTGATCCTCCTCAGGGTCTTCCAGAAACCCACGTTGCTTCTGACTTGTTGCAATGACACCCTAACCTGCATGATGAAGCTGGCTCTGTACCATGTTTGAATTGCAGCCTGTGAGATGGGAGAAGAGAGAGTGGAAGACAAGTGGCTTCCTTAAGGGACTAAACGTTACACTCACCGTTTCTGTCCCATTCACATCCTAGCTGTGAGTGTGGCTGGGCACATGGAGGCTTTAAGAGTAGACCATGTGCCCTGCCAAAACTCAAAGAAAGAGGGGAGGATGAATGCTGGGGCCATTAGCAGTCTCTGCCACACCCCTGTGCAGCCACCTGTGATGTCTTCCCTGTTACGAGCATACACACACCACCCGGCACTGCAATTTTTCGTTTTTGTTTATGGCAAGCAGGGTAAGCCCCACCCAAACCAATCAACTCAAACAAGCCAACTATCAAGAAGAGCAAAGAAATGAATTGCTAAATACGAAAAATGGTTCATCGTATAGCTTCTTAATTGTAAATGAGGAATGGATCTCAAAAATTAAAACTGTTTTTTACTTGATATTTCTGATTTGCCCTTCTCTATATCAATTGGTTTTAAGTTCTCATACTCCCAGTGCTTTTATGTCCATTAAATGCTTTATTAATACAGTTTAAAGATGACAGGCATTATCTGTTCTTTGAGTATGCATAATTAAATATTAGAAGAATGCATTAAGGTAAATAACACATTTCAGCTAATTTTTAAAAAATTTATTGCATCTAAAATGACAAAGATCAAAAGCTTTTATATTTAAAACTAAAGAATACTCAGAACATTAGACATTTTGCATTTTTCTACCATAAAATACATACTAAGTTGAAGTATTAGACCAGCACTGTTATTATTTCTATCCAAAATGAAGTTATAAAGGTGAACATGTCTGTTATTCGAAAGAGGAGGTTCTCATGAAACAATTGACCAGAGTAGGTTTATACAGAGAATGTTGAATGTTAAAGCGAGGAAGAAACTTATAGCTCATCCTGCAGGTTTAGAAACTGAGGTCTGAAGCACCTCAAATTTTAACTCAAGAATGCCACCATTTGTGGCATATTTTCCATGGCAGACAAAAAAATGAGTTTCCAAATTGGGCTGGCTGAGTGGTGTGTTGGTTAAAAGTTGGCTTGGGACACCAGCTCTGAGCAGCAGGGCCCCAGTTCGGATCCCACATGAGGGCCAGTGATGCTGCGCCCTCTACAGCTAAGATGGTGAACAACAGCTCGAGCTGGAGCTGGGCTGGCATGAGTCACCAGCAACGGCGTAGGCTGCAGCCCCTGCTGCAGTGGGCTGCTATGAGCTACCGTGAATGGCTGGCAGCTGGTGTGAGTAGCTGGCAGCTGGCATGAGCTGCCAAGAGCCACTGTGAGCGGCCGTCCAGTGGCTGGACACCAATCTGCCTCATCCAGGAAGAGTGCAATGATAAACACCAACATGGGCCAGTGAAGCCACATCCTCCACAACTAGACTAAAGAACAAAAGGACAGCAACTTGTCTGTTTCCCTCCCCCAATTCCCCAATAAAATCTTAAAAAAAAAAAATGAGTTGCCAAAAATATCATTGTGAATACACATATTGTTGTTTAGCTTTGGAAGAAGGCTAAGACTGACTTTTCTGGAATATGGTAATCTTCCCATATTACTATAAGTTATTAAACATATAAAACTCTTAAAACCCTTTTGAAAAACTGGAAAATTGGTATTAAGAATAGCTGGATTTAAGAAGACTGCCATGAAAATCATGTTGTTTAGCACCCTGAATGGATGAAGTGTTAGCCTAACATCATAATCAACCAAAACGTTTTACCAGCCTTCTTAGGACTCACCTATGTGGCCAGCAAGCCAGATATAGTCTTCAGTCTGGGCATAACATCCAAATAAAGGACAGTGGGAGCCCTGGTTTCGAGTTTAAAAATACTACCAAAGTAGTATTTTTTGCCAAAATATATTAAGTATGGCTTAAGAAATCAGCTTAAATGCAGTCCAAACTTAAATCTGTAAAAATCATCCTCACTTCTAGACCATAACAGGAGCAGATGGACAAAGGAACAAAATGGAACACGGTCCCATTTTGTACCAACAGTATCGACCCTTTCAGATTACAGTTAAGTCATCTGCTATCTGCAACCTGTGGCTTTCTAGTGCTGCTGAGGCACTGACTCAAGATTCCAGGCTTGGGATTTCTAAGCTGGAACAAAAACATTCAGCAGATTGCTATTTGTGGGTGGTTTTTTTTTCAAACACGCAAAGGTGAGAATACACTAGCCTACGTGCCGTCCTGAAAAATTCAGCTATCTGAAGGCCACAGCAACCATAGGAGAGCAGACTCTTTAGTTATTTAAGATCCTATTTCATACAAAATGAAAGGTCTAAGATTTGGTGGACAAGGTAGTTCCAATTATCTGTGAGTAGATTGTCCCCTTTGGGGACTCTCCTTAGTGCCAAGGGACCAGCCCCCTGTGTTTTCCTTTCAATTAGGCACTGGCGACTGAACTACAAGCTACACTGCCCGTCCTCGTGTGGTTACAGTCTTGATGAGGACACTGGGCTATTGAAGAGAGATCCGGCTAGTATGAGCTCAGCACCAACCCCAAGTGAGAGGGCACCAGGAAATGGGAGCTTCCATTAGTACAGCCCTTTTTTAAAAAGCAGTTTTAGCATGCATGTCAAAATGAGCATGTTGTTGTTTTTCGTTTGTGTGTTTGTTTTTAAAAGGTCTTTTTTAAAAAAAGATGTTATTGGGGTATTGGGGAAGGGGAACAGTGTTGGAGAATCAGGGAAGGGGAACAGACAAGTTGCTGTCCTTTTGTTCTTCAGTCTAGTTGTGGAGGATGTCGCTTCACTGGTCCATGTTGGTATTATCATTGCGCTCTTCCCGGGTGAGGCAGATCAGTCAACGGCCTCTGGATGGCCGCTCATGCCAGCTCTTGGCAGCTCATGCTGGCTGCCGGCCGCTCACGCTGGCTGCCGGCCACACACAGTAGCTCATGGAAACCCACTGCAGCAGGGGCTGCAGCCTACGCCGTGGCCAGCGACTCACGGCAGCCCAGCTGCAGGTCGAGCTGTTGTTCACCATCTTAGCTGTGGAGGGCAGTGTCACTGGCCCTCATGTGGGATCCGAACCAGGGCCCTGCTGCTCTGAGCTGGCATCCCAAGCCAACTCTTTACCAATGTGCCACTGGGCCGGCCCTTGTTGTTGTTTTTTCAATCTAACATGTATCAACCACTTATGTTACACCATTGTCAATCCTCACCAATCCCTGAGTCAGGGACTTTTACTGCCCCCATTTTTCAGATAAGGAAACTGAAGCATAGTGGATTTAAGAGACTGTCCAGTCTCTTATAGAGCCCATTAGTGAGCACCATTGGGATAGGAATCTAGACTTGCTGGATCCAGAGCTAGTGTTGAGAGAGGCTGTGGGAGTTGGGATTTCATGGCCAATCCTTTGGAGCCTAAATGAGCTGCAGCCAAGCCAGCGACTCACGGCAGCCCAGCTCCAGGTTGAGTTGTTGTTCACCATCTTAGCTGTAGAGGGCGCAGCATCACTGGCCCTCATGTGGGAACTGAATCGGGGCCCTGCTGCTCAGAGCTGGCGTCCCAAGCCAGCTCTTAACCAATGCGCCATTCAGCCGGCACTCTTATGATTTCCTTTATACCATTTTCTTTTCTGTAATTTATTTTATTGTCAGAATATAATACAACATACAAAATATGTGTTAATCGACTATTTATGTTATAAGTAAGGCTTCCAGTCAACAGTAGGTTATTAATAGTGAAGTTTTTGAGGGATCAAAAACTTGGATTTTCGACTGCACTGGGGAGTGGCACCCCTAACCCCTGCATTGTTCAAGGGTCAACTATAATTCCATTTTTTTGTATATCTATGTATATATTTTGTAAATCTTTGGTTCTTATTACCTACCTATCATTAGAGGAAAACAGCATTGTGATATGACAGGGGATTTAACACGGTACTGATATCATTAAGAAGGATTTTAGTGTTCTTGAAACCAGTGTTGCAGGTGTGGTGATTTTCCCATTTCCTGAACGTCCAGAGGCCGTTCCTGGCAGAACTTCTAGCCCCTGAGACTTTCATCTTTATCTTGCATGAAGGATACAATTGGGTTCTGATGCATGGATTCTCAAAGCCGCTGAGCATCCACACAATCTGTTATGCTAAATCACACCTGGTGTCTGCAAAGAGAAGGTTCTGGCAAGCATCCTCACCACTGGGACGGAGGCCTCTGACTCCGATGCCAAAACACGGCAGTGTTGCAGAAAGCCTTCTGAGAGCCTGGCGCACGGGCACGGTAAATTAACCTGCTTGTTCTCACGTTAAATGCTTTATGAAAATTTACTGGGCGCAAAAAGAGGGAAGAAAACCCAAGTGGTTCCACGGTGAGCCTGCCTGGCATCGGTGAAGGAATGAAGCCGCCGAGAGAGTCGACGTGAAAAGCTGGCAAGAGAAAAAGGTGTAAAATGCAATGAAAATCAAGTGTGGTGCCAGCATTGCATTGTTTTACTAGCATTTTCTCAAGGAAGACAATTGTAGAAGATCTGGGGTACATGAGCTAGGTAAGATGACACAGGGCTCTGCCTCTTTCTCCACAGTACCCATTTTCAGAGAAATTGTGGCATGCTCCAGTGGACTGCAAAGAAGAACCTCCTCCCACGCAGCTTGATCCTTGGGGGGTGGGGGGGAGAAGGTGGAGGGGAGGGGGCTTTGCTGTAACCACAGTTCTCATAGGGCAGAATCTGCCTTTTTTTTTTTTTAAATAAAATGCTCTGATGGCCATCATCATCCTCCATTCTTCAGTTTTCCACATTATAGTTTCCTTTTCCTTGTTGATTTTACAATAGAATAAAATAGATAAAGAATAGGGTGGAAAAGTTCTACTTTTTAAAAATAGCTATAAATTTTCCACCTAAAAAAAAAAACAAAAACAATTTTTTTTAATTACCACATTCTTTGGGAAATAATTAGGAAGCAAGACACACAACAACAGCAAACCACGGAAAACAAATGATTAGCTCCTATAAAATGAAGGCGTGTGAGTGTCTATTTGAGCAACAGAAATCAACATATGCAAAGGCAGGACCAACTGGTAATATCATGCCGGGAGTTTGAAAATTCCTTTTAGCTTGAAAGCCTCACCTACCTTCAAAGTAGTTTGTGAGGAGAATGATCCAGTTTAGTGCACTGTAAGAAACCGTTCTTTCGGCACTATTTCTGCTATCACAGAGCTTATGCAGTTACCTGATTTCTTCATTCAGGGCTGCCAGGGAGACTAATCAACACTAAGGAATCCAAAGAAGCCTGTTTGGGCCGCTGCTGGGCCACCACCGGGTGAAGCTTTCTCCCCACAATGAGAAGCCAAGGCCCGCAGCCTGCAGCTAGCTGAAACGCCGTTAGCTGGGTTTGTTTCACTGCAAGGCCGTACCTGTGCCGTATCATTAGACATTGGCACTTCTGTCTGTACGCTTTCAGAACCTCCTGCTTATGGAGACAAGATTTTTTGTGTCAGCACCTTAGAGAAGTGTTGCGGAAGCAATTGGCGCGCAGACAGGAATCCCAGGCGGGCTGCACGGCGGGCGCAGCGCTGCACCTTCAGAACCCACTTAGTGCGGGCCAGGAGAGAAGTGGCCCGACTTGCCTCCCACGTTTAGTGATGGGCACGGAAACAAGCGTTTTCCTCCACGGAAGTGTAGAAGCTTTGGCTTTTTAAAAAACTGGTTCTTGGTATCCACATTAAAGGGGTTCATTTGGATCGTGTCTAGCAATGTGTCTCAAGGCGGCTTGAGAACTAAAGGAAGTCGTCAGCCAGACTATGTTGTGCGTGAGCATCGCAGGAAAACTGGCCAGGACAGGTGACAGGTGTGTTATCTGAGGCGTATCTGGAACCATGGCATGGCTGCCTCATTAAATTAGGAATCGACCTCTTTTTTTTTTAAAGATTTTTATTAAAATACAGCTAACATACAATATTATGTTTCAGGTGTACATCACAGTTATTCAACATTTATACCTACAGAAGTAATCGCCATGATAAGTCCAACAACCATCTGACACTGTACCACACTATCACATTATTATTGACTATATTCCCTATGCTGTACTATGAATCAACCACTCTTGATTTATCGTTTAAAAAAGAATGAAAGGCCTGCGGACCCTACCCTGTGTGGGTAATCCGTGGCACCTGTGGCAAACTAGTGTTTTCATCCTTATAACGAAGAAAGGTAGGTGCAGGGCACTTTGATGACACTGTTCCCTTTTGCTTGTTTATTTTTATTTTCCCATGCAGACTGCAACCCAGCAGGGGGCTTTTAAACCAAAACAGTTAATTACCTCCTCTAACCCAGAGAAGTTGCAAAACACAAATAGAGCGGGCTGAGAGGAAGAGGGCTGCTTTGCTTAGGGCTGTGTTTTGCACCAGGTGAGAAGGGCAGGCTGAGGGAGACCAATTAGAAGGCCCGCAGGAGGGAGGTGGGCCAGGGTCCCCACACTCCATGGTACTTGACATTTCTTTTTCAATGCATTGTACTGTGAATCCCCAGATCAGAGACCCATGTACAAACACCCATCCCAAAGATAAAATTAAGTCGCTTTGGGACGAGAGGCCCTCGCTACAAAAGTGCATGCTCCAGGGAGGGAAAAGTTGCCTCTATGGGCAGGGCAGGCTCAAGGGCAGGCTTTCGCCACTTAGGGACCTTCTCCATTCGAGGGACGTCGGGGCACGGACCTTCCTCCAGTCCAGGCCGAGGCCGCTGGCAGCTTCCATAAGGACCCTACTTTCTCAGCTGAACTGCAGTTCTTGTCCCTCACCCCCGCTGCCCTTCCCTCCCCCGGTGTAACAGGGCCTCAGCCCTTTGTTCCTAAAACATGGGCTCAGCCCTGCCTGCTTTGGAATCTCCGGTCTTTCTGTCCATCTCCTGGCACCAGCACCTTCCCTACCTGACTTCATATGTTCCGACCATCTGCCTTTTTAGTCACTTACCCTTCCTGCCTCTGATCTTTGCCCATTTTGGCTCTCTTGCTGGGTGCTGCCCTCTCCTCTGCACCTATTGAAACCTTCAACTCCGCTGCCCCCATCTCAGCCGGAAGTGCTCCCAGCTGTCTCTCAGCCCCCTGGTCCTATTGTCTGTTCCACTGATTTGAACTGTTTCACTTCCTATTCTGTGGGCCTTTCATTGCCACAACTAGATGATACATTCCTCTATTGATTTATATATTGATATACAGTGATCTCAATATCTTTCACTAACCCCCCCGGACCACACACACACGCACGCGCGCACACATACACACACACCCAGCACCTGGCATAGTGGATTGCATTTGATTGATTCCTCTCCTACTGGTTAAATGCACCAGACCAGGGCATCAGGCGGAATCTGGGGATAGTATTCAGGAAATTTTCTTTTCAGAATCATAAACAATCACAAAGAAAAGGAAACCTATCAGTTATCTAAATATTTTCAAGTATCTGAGCTGTGGCAGCAAGAAAGCCAAACACTAGCCACTCACCAGCCAGGGTCTGGTGCACAGCTGAGCGAACAGGCTGGTAGAAGTAAGCCCCTTCTTTCCACTTAAGTGTTCTCTTCCCAGGGAATTTCCATTGTATTTCGTTGAAAGATAAAGACAGAAAACACAGAATAAAAATATCATAAGCCTCCCTACCTCACACCATATTCAAATAATACATATAATATATATATATATATTATATATATATATATATATATATGTGATCAGAATATGTCAAGGGCCTAAATGTTAGAGCTAGAACTATAAAACTCTTAGAAGAAAACATAGGTGTATATCTTTGACCTTGATTAGGCAATGGTCTCAAAATGATAACAAAAGCACAAGCAACAAAAGAAAAAATAAACTGGACTTCGGCAAAATTATAACTTTTATGCCACATAGGACAACCTACAGAATGGGAGAAAATATTTGCGAATCATATATCTGATATCCAGAATATACAAAGGACACGCATAACTCAACAACAAAAAGCCCAATTTTTAAAAATGGGCAAAGGATTAGAATAGACAGTTCTCCGAAGAAAGTATACTGATGGCCAATAAGCACATGAAAAGATGATCATCATGAGTCATCAGAGAAGTGCAAATCAAATACACAATGAGACACCATGTCACATCCACTATAATGGCTATTAACAAAAACAAGCAAATAAATAAAATGGGAAATAACAAGTGTCGTCAAGGATGTAGAGAAATTGGAATTCTGGTACATTGCTGATGATATGCAAAATGATGCATTTGGCAATTCCTCAGAAAGCTAACCATGGAATTACTATACAGCCCAGCAATTCTAATCCTAGAGGTATATGCCCAGAATTAATGAAAAGAGATTCCAAGAGCGACTTGTGCGCCAATGTTCATGGCAGCATTATTCACAATAGCCAAAAGGTAGAAACAACTCAAATATCCATCAACAGATGAATGGATAAAAAAATATATAGTATTTGCATACATTGGAATATTATCAGCATGAAAAGGAATAAAATTCTGATACATGCTACAACATGAATGGACCTTAAAATATTATTATGCTAACTGAAATAAATCAGACACAGAAGGACAAATATTGTATATTTCACTAATATGAAATACCTAGAATAGACAAATTCATAGATACAGAAAGTAGATTAGTTGTTACCAGGACCAGGGTGTAGAAGGGAATGAAGAATTATTGCTTAATAGTTACAGAATTTCTGTTTGGGGTATTTTGGAAACAGATAGTGGTGATGGTTGCACAACACTGTGAATGTAATTAAGACCACTGAAAGGTACACTTAAAAATGGTTACAATGGGGCCGGCCGAGTGTCGCGTGGGTTAAGAGCTGGCTTAGGACACCAGCTCTGAGCAGCAGGGCCCTGGTTCGGATCCCACATGAGGGCCAGTGACACTGCCCTCCCCAGCTAAGATGGTGAACAACAGCTCAACCTGGAGCTGGGATGCCATGAGTTGCCGGCGACGGCATAGGCTGCAGCCCTGCTGCAGTAGGCTGCCATAAGCTACTATGTGTGGCCAGCAGCCAGCGTGATTGGCCAGCAGCCGGTGTGAGCTGCCAAGAGCCACTGTGAGTGGCCGTCCAGAGGCCGGTGAACAATCTGCCTCATCCGGGAAGAGCACAATGATAATACCAACTTGGGCCAGTGAAGCGACATCCTCCACAACTAGACTGAAGAACCAAAGAACATCAACTTGTCTGCTCCCTTTCCCCGATTCCCCAACACTGTTCCCCTCTCCCAATTCCCCAATAAAATCTTTAAAAAAATAAAATAAAAATAAAAATAAAGTCTATCTTGTTTGGTATAAGTATTGCTACCACAGGTTTAAAAAAAATGGTTACAATGGAAAATTTTATATGTATTTTACCACAGCTTTTTCAAATGGTCAAATGATTTACATAGTTCTCCAAAGAAGATATAAATATGACCAATAAGCACATGAAAAGATACTCAACATCATTAGTCCTCAGGGAAATGCAAATCAGAATTACAGTGAGCCCAGGGAGACACTCCACACCTACTGGGATGGCTATATTTTTTAAACAAAAAAGATCATAACAAGTGTTGGTGCGGATGGAGAGCAGTGGGAACCCTCATACATTGCTTGTGGGAATGTAAATTGACACAACCTCTTTGGAAACAGTTAACAGTTCCTCAAAAGATTAAGCATAAAGTTACCATATGACCCAGCAATTCCAATTTCTCCTAGGTATAGACTCAAGAGAAATAAAAACATGTCCACACAAAAACTTGTACATGAATGTTCATAACAGCCTTTTTCCTGATAGCCGAAAATGGAAACAACCCAAATGTCCACTAACTGATAATAGATAACTGCATAATAAGCAAGATGTGGTATGTCCATACAACGGAATATTGTCAATGAAAAAGAAAGTACTGACACATGCTACAGCATGATGAACCTTGAAACATTGTACTAAGTAAAAGAAACCATTCACAAAAGACCACATATTTGCATGATTCTATTTCTATGAAATGTCTAAACTAAGCAAATCTATAGAGACACAAGGTAGACTAGTGGTTGCCTAGAGCAAGGGGGAAATGTGAATTACTGCTAAAGAGTGTAGGGTTTCTTTTGGGAATGATGAAAATATTCTAAAGATTGTGGTAATGGTTGCATAACTCTGTGAATGCACTAACAACCATTGAGTTTAAACAGGTTAACCTTAAGCAGGTGTATTATGTGCTATTTGAATTTTATCTCAATAAAGCTATTAGCAAAAAAAAAAAATCACAAGTCTAAAAATAATCTCGCCCAAAATTACTTGTCATAAATAACAAGTATTGGGTTGTTGGAAAAGTCATGACGTATTTTTTTCTGTTTTTCATCCCAAAAATGTGTCATGACTTTTCCAACAACCCAATAAAATGCAGTTGAAATCATTAACTAGGTTCTAACTTTATTGTGGAAATATTCAAATATATACAAATGTAAAGAGAATAGTGTAAAGAACCCTCAGTACTCATCAATCAGCTCTAAAAATTATCAACATTTTACAGGTATTTTAAATTTTTTCCCCAAATTTTGTTACAAAATTTTCAAACATTAGAAAATTCGAAAGATTGTACAGTGAATACCCATATATACCTCTGTATTCTCCCATTAATGTTTTACTCTGCCTGCTTTATCTATCCTTCTATCCACCCATCAATGTATTTACTTTTTAAATTCATTTCAAAGTAAGTTGTAGAGAGTAGCAGTATACTTCCCCTTAAATACTCTACATGCTGCATGTCACTGATTAGAGTTCAATATTTGTTTACCATTCTCTTTGTTCTTTTGAGGTAAAATTTATATACAATGAAATGCACAAATTTTAAGTGTACATTTTGTGAATTTTGACAAAAGTATAGGCCTGTCTGATGCAAGTTAAAGCTATTGATTTACTATCTTTAAAAAATATTTTTAATTGCTCAGAGACCTTCAAAATAAATTATTTTCTTAAATTTATTATATTTTAGTGTTGTTTTTGTAGGGTTTTCTCTTTCCATTAAATCCCTGATGTCAGCAAAAATGCCAGTTACATGTTATGAGCTACCCATCCATACACATCCTAATTCTTCTTAGTTTTTTTTTTTAATGAAAGCTGATTTGGCATTTTACTATAAACCTGTGTAGCAATGTATTTTTCATAATTAACACATCAGAAAATTTTCTCTACCCAAATCTATATTTTCAGTGTAAACATTTAATATTACATGAAATGTAATAGTTTATGGGATGAATCAATAAATTCAATTTTTTACTTTTTTATTGTAAAATATATATAACGCAAAATTTACCATCCTAATCATTTTTAAGTATACTGTTCAGTGGTTATTAAGTGTACTGGTTCAGTGTATGTTCACATTGTTATGCAACCATTACCAACATCCATCCCCATAACTCTTTCCATCTTGTAAAACTGAAACTTTATACCCATTAAAAAATAACTCTCCTCCCCCCAGCTCCTGGCAACCACCATTCTATTTCTGTCTTTATGATTTTAACAAGTACCTTATATAAGAGGAATCATACAGTATTTGCCGTTTTGTGACTGGCTTATTTCACTTAGCATAATGTCTTCAAGGTTCATTCATATTGTAGCATGTGTCAGAATTTCCCTCCTTTTTAAAGTTGAATAATATTCCATTGTGTGTATGTATGTGTGTACATTTTGCTTATCCATTCTTCTGTCAATGGACACTTGGGTTGCTTCCATTTTTTTACTGACAGCCTAATAGCTATTGTGAATAATGCTACAATAAACATGGGTGCACAAATAATCTCCTTGAGATTCTGCTTTCAATTCCTTTGGGTATATACCCAGAAGTGAAATTGCTGGATCATATGGTAATTCTATGTTTAATTTTTTGAGGAACCACCATTACTATTTTCTATTGCGGCTGTACCATATTCCATTCCCACTAACAGTGCACAAGAGTTCCAATTTCTCCACAAATCCTAACAAACACTTGTTATTTTCTGGTTTTTTGTTTGTTTGTTTTTTAATAGTAGCCATCCTAATGCGTCTGAAGTGGTAGCTCATAGTTTTGATGTGCATTTCTCTAGTAATCAATGATATTGAACATCTTTTCATGTGCTTATTGGCCATTTGTATATCTTCTTTGGAGAAATGTCTATTCAAGTCCTTTGCCCATTTTTTAATTAAGTTGTTTGTTTTTTTTGTTGTTGAGGTTTAGGAGTCATGTTTACATACTGGATTTTAATATTTTATCAGATATATGATTTGCAAATATTTTCTCCCATTCTGTGAGTTACAGATTAAAAAAATTATTTTTTTAATTTTAAATTTTTACCAAGTCCAATTTGTCTGTATTTTCTCTTGTGCCTTTGGAGTTACTAATGAATGAAATTTTTAAACCCATTAACTCATAGTATGTTCAATATTGTTGTAGATTTTCTGTTTTCAAAAACAGGCAAACCAAGATTTCTTTTTCATGTGAAAACACAATAGGATAAAAAAACTCAACACTGTCCCCTTGCCTAAAGAAACACTACCAGGTTGTAATAATCAATGAGAATTTATTTGCCTTTTCCCCCAATGATTATAATAATCATTACAACCCTCTCTGATTATAACAAATTTTTATACTTTTAAAAGAAAAATACAAAAATGTAATTTACTAGTGGTGACTATTTTATGTCACAAGCACTTCTGTTTTTTAATATACATGTAGAAGAAGATGTTATATAGAAAAGGAGACCTTAAATGGAACAGTTTACTGAGAGTTTATTTTTAAAAACCATTCTGAAATTTTTCCAAAAAAATTTCATATAGCTGCTGATAGCCAGGCCGCTGCCCAAAATTTGTTCCACTCCATGCCTGTGACATCATTTTACAAATTAGATACAATGGAAACGAGATGAGATGGACAAATTCAGAAAGGACAGAATTCACTAGTGTTTTTTAATCTATGGCATGGCAATTTGCCTTTTGCAGGACGAAAATATTAATTACCCATTTTTAAAAATCACAAATGCTATGCGTCTCCCTGGAGCCTAGAAAGCCTTTCGTATTTCTTAATTACCAAATCTCGGTTCGGCCACACAGCTTCCTTTCTCATTGCTTCTGTTGCATCCAGGGTCATCTTTGCAATTTCCTCTGGAAAACGACTATACATTAACATACAAGGTTTGGGGGTGGGGGTGGGGGGTGGAAGAATGGAAAGGTGTTAATTCAGATGTTATGAAACTGTGATAATGCTATTATTTAAAGCATTTATTTGGGTCTGTTTATACTTTGTAGTTTTATAAATAAGCCCAAGGGGCTCTTCCTGGTTGTCACAATCCTCCTTGAATCTTGTATCCTGTCTGTCTCTTCCTATCCGACAGTAGAATTGATGCCGCTCTAATCCCTAGAAGTTTGGAACTAATGAACTGACTGCTGAGCTGCCGCCACGGAGCTTGGTCCCAAACTATACTGTACTTCACACTCGATTTATTCTCCAGATGGCGAGACTGTGCCGCCCTGCCGCGAGGGACCACCTCTTCCACTGGAGTGTAAAAGTGGACGGATGTTGTTTTCTTTGCAGATTTGATCATTCTGAGCTAGAAACTTGCGAAGATGATTAGTTATTAGCTTTAATGGGTGCCAATTGAACCAACTGCACGCATATTTTCTCCTTTAATTTCAGAGTCTGCAGGTCTTGGTGATGGTTGATTTATCTGCTTTCTTACGTCACCGGAGCGTGTCTCTTCCCCAGGTGATAAGAACCCACTCTCTGAAATCATAGCACGCCTTGGTTCCTGGCCCAGAGGAGTCACATAATACGGTGGCTTATGTATAAGGACAAGTTTATTAGCCGATGGTTCACTGCCCTGAGCAACCCATGGCACGAAATGTTGATTGAATGCAGGAAATTTGGTAACACCACCTTTTTTCGAACAGGAGCCTGTGAAGGTTCTGATCTGTGCCAACTTTCTCTGTGACCTCTGCAGGGCCCACCTCTGGAATCAAACATGCTACAGAACACACTATTATAATTCGTCTCTGCAAAGATCTAATGCAACTGCTGATAAAGGCCTTCATTCCACTATTCTGTCTTTTCCAGGTTGTCAGATTTTAGAGGGACAAGTTCATCCTGCATGCGAAACACTTAACCAAGGCTGTCCTGTAGTGTTAGCATGTAGAGAATGGGGTTCCTTCTAAAACTCATTTTGAGCAACCTGTTTTGCTACTAGAATGTAAGACACACACACACACACACACACACACACACACACACAGAGTCTTTTTTTTTTTTTTGAGTGGTCTCTTTTTGCTTTCATTTTCTTCGTTCTCCAGGGAACACTTCCCCATAATCTCAGCAGATCACCCGGATAGCCCTTCTGAGAAGGGTTGTCTGCCAGGCTGTGTCTTACTAATCCCCATAACAAGATGGAAATTAAAGGATGGTCAGGGCTAAACAGGAGCCAGAGAAAAACAGGATGAAAGTGTGAAAGGGAGTGAGGTGATGGAGATGAGAGAGCTATAAGAGATGTGAGAGAGAGATAGTAGTAAGAAATAAGGTACGTGCTATAGAGAGAGAAGGGAGAGAGAGAAACAGAGAGGGAGAGAAAAGAATGAACAGAATGTCTTTCTTTTCACAACTGGATAGGCTGGCCCTCTCTAGCTGAACACCCAGAACTAAACTTAATTGTTCTTAGAAACTGCCTTCCTCTCACCCAACAGATGGCATGGGTGTGTTTGCTAGCACAGTAACATATTTCACCATTAAAATACCAAAAAGAAAAAAAAATCAACATGCGTGTTGGTTGGTGTAAATCCAGTGAAGTTGTTGGATATTTTGGGATACATAGCAGAGGGATGCACACTTAGCTTATGTAAATTGCAACAAGCAACAGCCTGTTAATAGGGGTGTTGTGTGGCACTATACCTCCAAAGCCATCATCTTCTTTTTTTTTGAAAAGTACAGAACGATGAAGTGGAAAAAGCTTGGTTTTCACTGTGAGCCAGAAGGAGAAAAAAAGTGTAATAAAATGCTGAGTATTCACTGCTCATTATTACAACATGAAAAGTACTAATCAGATTATGTCTCAAGTTGGAATTAGGTACTTCATTTGCAGCCAATTTCACAAGGGCTGAATTTTACTAAGTAAACCAGAATGTGCCAACACCATGGCAATCTGACTTGAGATAAAAATCACAAACAGGTTTAAAACATGAGCTTTGAACAAACAGTCCTGTTCAAATCCAAGTGAAACAACAAAACAGCTTAGAGGTCACATTTTGTTTGACACCAATATTAAACAATTTAGGAAGCTGATGTTGCCAGGGATCTTGCATCCTTGAGCACACATGCAGATTAAAGAATGGAGATGATGATTCAAATAACTCTAATTTTAAATTGCATTTCAGCCTAAACGATCTAGTTACTTCCCTTCCATTTTGCATTCACTCTGTCCCAAGAGTCTCTTCACAAGCCTGACCTGCTATTGACAGAAATCCTGGAAGTTGAAATGTTTACAAACTGTAGCAATCCCAAATTTGTAGTTGTGCGGGCTACATGGAACATAACACATTTTAGGTTCTCTGAGGCTGTGGATCTAAATACACACACTGCCAAGGAGCTGGAAGCATTTTCTCTTGCCAGCTCTAGACGGCCTTAGAACCACGATATTGAGCTAACTTCTGCTTTTCACCTTCAGGACTTGTGTATTTAGTGGATTTAACAAGAGGGCACGGTAAAGAGAGTAATGGATGAGTGTGATAGCTGTGGAATGGCCCACAGCATTGCGTGGAACCAAGCCACCATTGGCTGCACCATCCCTCCCTTTAGCGAGCATGAGCTCTCTCTTGCTTTTGTCTACGCTTGGTCTAATTATTGGCAGTTGCAGCTCTGTAAATCAGGACTCCACAGAACTGTCTTAAACTGATCCTACATACTCTGTTTCCATCTGACCTGACAACTCTAAGCTACTGTTTCCTCACACTGTTTAACTCAGACCACATTTGGAAGACTTCCCTGCTTCCACCGGGCCGGAGATCTACATCCGTCTGGTTTAAATCTACTGTCCTGGCTTGTCTTGTTGATTAGACTTAGACTCAATATTGGCTCAAATAATTCTTTGTCTCTGTTTTGGTTTGCTATTTCCCTAGATAAGTACTGCTGTTCGAATGGCTGTATATTGTTAAGACTTTTTTTCTTTTTTAAACCACAATCATCAGCAGTGAGAAGCCTTAAAGTTTTATTAGTATCATAAAAACCCTTCCCAAATGAAACTACTTTTGATACATGTTCATTCTGACAATGAGAATTTGTTGAGGGCTCTTGGCAACTTGGAGGAATTTGTTTTTGAAACTGAAATTGGCAGGAAGTAATGACCCCAAAGTGCTTTATTTCCTCAACTCCAACCCCGAACCCCTCAATGCCCTCCTTTCAATCTCTCCACTCCCTCACCTTCATCACCTCCAACTCAAAGCCAATAAATAACATGGGTTTGGTTTTATATAGTTTTCCTGGGAACAATTCACATACTGAAGCAGACTTTCAACCTTTCAGCTTTTCTTAACTGGAGCAAAGACTGTCAAATCAAAGAAAAAAAATTGTATTTGTCTACCACTTCATGAAGGTTTTTTTTTTTTTGGTGATATTATTGCTTCCCATCTGAATAAGTTGGAGCTTTTCTGTAGTGTGGAGTGTCATTTTCCTGTGAGTGCCTTCTTAATTGAATGTCAAGATTCAACTCAGTTGCAAAAAAATAAAATTTTTTAAAAAGTGAGTAAAAAGGCATGACGCATGTGGAAAAAGAAAAACAAATAATTTTTTCCCTAATGTGAATATGCTGATGGAGGAGACTGCCATTATCTGTATATTATCTAGCTTCTTATATTTATTAAATGAGAAATAGCAGGTGGAAGACTTGGAACCATACATAGTATACTTAGTAAACGCTCAATAAATGTTACCTATTAATTTGTTTGCCTTTGCAATTGGGAAGCAGTATCAATGAGCAAGCTGACCCTACTACTTAGAAGTACCCCACTATGCATTATAATGGCCATCATCTCTGTTGTAGTCATCTTGAATGAAGTGTGGAAATCAATCGCTTACCTATCAGCTTGGATGAGTTGGTTCAAATACCATTTATTGGTTGGACAGGTGATTTGTAGACATAGTAATGGTGCTCAGACTCTGAATCCACATGACAACTTCACAGATGGTTCGATTGTGTCCTCTCAATGTAAAATAAACTTAGGAGATACATTTTTTTTTCTATACTTACAGCATGAAGCTCGATTGAGAATTGTAAAAACTCTTGAAGACTTTGATCTGGGCCCAACCGAAAAGTGTGTGAGAATCAACTCAGTGTCCAGTGGTCTGGCTGAAGAAGACCTGGAGACCCTCCTGCAATCCCGGGTCCTTCCTTCCAGCCTAATGCTACCAAAAGTGGAAGGTCCTGAAGAAATCCAGTGGGTAAGTAGCTAATGCTTTGCTTTAATTCAAGACTCAGGACCAGCTAAGGAGTGGCAGAAAGGAAGGATTCGGGTGTGCTGGTTTTGAAAATGCATGTACAGAGCAGAAAGGGAATTCAGAAAAAGGAGTAAACCCAAGAGACCATGTTCTTTACACAAGGAGAACCTGGCTTTGCCCCAGGTGTTCTATGGACCAACTCTACTCTTGAAATGATGCTTCTGCTCCCTAGTCAGATTTGTGGTTTGCACAGAACAACCTCCTCAGTAGCCTTTCCAGAGCAGTCCTTGGAAAGTAACTTGCCAGAGAATTGGATCGCTTCTTCCACCCTGCCGGGCCCTAACCCTCCCCCAGAAGAGCGGTGATGTAAATGGCTCTTACCCAGGTTCGTTGGAAGCCATCATGGATTACGAAAGCACATTAGCCACAAATGAAAAACTGAACCTAGAGGAGGAGAGGTAAAGGTCACTCCTTAGGGCAAACAGAGGAATAAACAGGAAGCTTTTAACTAGTGGTTTTAATTAGCACAGATATTATTTCCTGAACAGTTCTCTAGTTGTCCTTTTTAAATTGCTGACAGGTGTGTTTGGGTTTCATGACAGACTTTTCAGCCAATAAAAACCTGGCATGTCAAATTACTTAAGAAAACTTTGAAATGCGCCTAATTATACTATGATTGTTTTAATTGTTAAAGTGGGGGGGAGGCGAGATTTTATTTAGGAGTTGCTATGATTCTGCAGATCTCTGCTGAATAAAGTAACACTCCATTGTGCCACTCCAGGGCAGAGGGCCTGTGACACGTAGATGCTGGATGCATGGTAAGCTCATGTGGACAGTGGTGATTTTGATGCCACACCTGGGATTACCTCTAAGGCCAAGGCTGCTACTGTGGCAATATGCCGAGTAGTTGTAACACCTGAGGAAACTGCTCACCTTAATGCATGTAGATAGGTTGGACCTGTGCTTTCCTCTGGCTGTGGCCACCTGCCAGATGTGGCCACTGAGCCCCAGAAATGCAGCAAGTGGAAACTGAGATGTGCTGGAAGTGTAAAATACACATGGGATTTTGAAGACTTCGTAGCAACCCCGTACCCCCACCCCCAAAAAAAGACTGCAAGTTATCTCAGTAATTTTTGATACTGATTACATGTTGAAATGATACTATTTCGGATATATTGGGTTGAATAAACATTAAATTCACCTGTTTCACTTTACTCTTTTAATGTAGCTACTAGAAAATTCAGAATTATGTATGTAGCTGCCATTAGTTTTCTGTTGGACAGCTCCCTGTTGGCGCCTTCTTGAAGGCCCGTGTTCAAGATTTCATATTTACTTTCTAAACTGGAGTTCTCCTCCCCAAGGTCACCCCTCAGAGGCTGGGAGATACTGGTTATATAGTAGGTTAATATCTTCGAGGGCTCCTACCCCATTCGAATGTGTCTTAAGTTGATTGAAATGGAATCTGAAGTCACTGATTCCTTTTGGTTTCATAGTTAATGCCTATTTATCACCATTATTACCCTCATTTGAGAGGGGAGGACCCACCCCCGCCTTGAGCTATGGCTTCTGTTCTTGGTTTTAAATCCCTGAATGTGAGGAACATAGTGAAATCTAAATAGGATTTCTAGTTAACAGAAATCTTTGGGGCTGTTTATTTTTTCCTCTCCGTTTGTATTTATGTGAAGCATAAAACCCAGAGCCTGATGCACAACTGAAAGATGGGCTTCCTTGTTTTCTTTTGTGTGAGAATCTCTTGCTGGCCTTTTGTCGCTAGTGTGGGTTCTTGTTTGACTGGCACGGCTTATTGGACTATAACAAGCGTGACTCTGCCTCCTTTGTCGTGGGACAATTCTCCCACAAATCCCGAACACTGTGCATTCTTCCAACACACTATTGGGTGTGCACTGGAATTGAAAGAATTGCTGAGCCCTGCTACTTCATCTCCTCCCCAATCTCTTTGTGATTTTTTCCCCCTTCTTTTCCTCCCCCTCAGTCCCCTCCACCTCGCTGAAATGAACACTTTACCAGGCCGGAAACATTTAATCGTCTCCTTTTGAAAAAATTAATTGAAACTTCTCCACTAGTTACCTTTTGTGTTAGTACTTAATGCAATTTTTTAAGAAAGAAGGGGAGGAGGGGAAAGAGGACGGGCTAGAATATTTAATTTTTAAATGCCTCGATTGGCTTGAAAACAAAAGGCGTTAGACATGTTCTCAGTGAGAACAGGGACTAGATTGTAAAGTGTTTACCTAGTTTTAAACGTTATGATTTTTGTAGCCGTAACTATTATCCCAAAGAATGGGGCACGTAACATTGCAAGTTTTGTTTTTTTTTAATGAGAAAAAAAAAATTCCTCCACTGCACATGTGACACCAAAACCACTAATATTTCACTACCTACTTTCCAGCTTAAATGTGACATAAATTATGTTTTATTTTCATTTACATGGGATACTATACATTTGTCCCCTGAAATTGTAGCCTTCTCATTTTTCTTGCTATTTTGGTTGAGTTATGCCTTCCCTTGCAAACTTACTAAGGAGGTGATGATGATGGTGTGGAGGAAGGGAGGGGGCAGTGGGAACAACTGGGAATAATTCTTCATTACTGAAAGCTGTGATTTATTTTAGCCTAATTGTAAAGTTACTGCAAATTGCTCAAAAGCTTTTTAAAGATCCCAGTGATTAGATTTTTTAGAGGGGGGGGGTGCTGCACAGGCAAGGAGGGGGCAGCTAAAAGGGGAAATAACACCTCTAATCCTGCTTCTGGTAAATAGGCTGCCAGCTTTTAAAATGAGTTTCCTTTCTATTAGTCAGAATATTATGCTAAGCCTTAAGCATTAGTTTTTTTATGTTGCCATAGCAGCCCTATTCCTGCAGGGTGGTGACCTGCGATGATTACAGTACAAAGCTTATAGGGTCTTGAAACCCCCTTTGAAGATGAAAAGTCTTTGATGGTTTATATTTATGCAAATCTCTTAGATATGATTTACCCAACTGAGACTGAATGGAGAGATGATTAAAATTCCCTTTTCCTTTGATATCCATTAATGGCTGAATATTCCTTAAATTTAAAATGGATATATATGTTTTCATCTTTATTTACAAAAATATCTTTGTCGTACCTGTGTTTTTTGGGGGTTTTTTTTATCTCCCCTCATCTTGTTAGATCTAGATAGACATAATAGATTTACAATTTAGAGTGTGGTGGGGTTTTTTTTCCTTTTGAAAAGGGGGGGGCAGAATCTGTGCAAGAGCTTTTGTATGTTTCCAGATGATAGATTTTGGAATTTGGGCTACCCCACTGGCAGCACAGAGCTCGCTGTGAACTGGTCTCATGGAAAAAATTGGCGAGCTTTGGTCTTCAAAGAATTAAACTTCCTTTTTAAGGTCTTCCTAGGTAAGCTAAAAAATTATGAAGAAAAACCTTCTGAACAAAGGGTAATGGTACTATAATGAATAATATGGATTCCACGAAGAAGGCTGCCGAACAGTTACACTGATGTCAGTGCTGGGTATGAAACAAAAACAGAATGGTAGGAAGGGCAAAACTGTATTGTTTTAGGGGCCTACCACTTGCATTTTAAGAAGTGAGGGCGAGGGATCTTAAGTAAATACGGTTTCAAGGAAAGCATTTAAACTCAAGAATCTCTCCTTCCAATTCTAACTTCTAGGCCTCAAATCACTCTGTTAGAAAAAAACAACAAAAAAAATACTTACAATGCTTGGGGTTTTACTATTTAGTTTTGTGAGAACTTTCTTACCTTTTTTCTTTGGTCTTTCCTCTTTTTTTTTTTTTTTTTTAATTCTTTTGTGTGGATGAAAGAGGCTGGGATATTACTTCCTCAGGTCAAAGACTTAAATACTGCTTCAACGTCTACATTTCAGTGGTTGTACATTTTTGCCCCACTAATCACCTATGACACTTTTGATTTTAGTTTTCAGACAAATTTTCATTCTACTTAAAAGGCCGAAAACTTGAACAACCTTTGAATTTAATCCCTTTTGTGGAAACTGCAATGGGTTTACTCAATTTTAAGGTAAGAAAACCATCATGTGGCTAAGAAGTTAGTATTTTATTTATTATCTAAAGAGAACTTTTGTTTTCAATGTGAACATCTACTTAAAATATTTTTCTAGAAAGATTTATCAGCAAAGTAAACCTCGAGCACAATGTGTTATCTGTAATTATCCAAAACCAGGTTGAGAGCATCTTAGAAAACAAAGAAATTGGCTAAATAGCAAGGAGAAACTTCCCAGTCCTAAGTTTTTAAATGAAATATTTATAGATTCCTAGCAATAATTTTAATTAAATAATCACTATGTTAATATATGCTTTGAATTGTTACATTTATAGACTAAATGTGCATGAAAATGTATTTTGTCACCCTTATGAATTAACTTTCAATTATTCTTTTGTAACAATTGCCTTTTATTGGAAAATTTTCTGGCCTCTTGGTAGCAACATTATCCATAATGTCTAGTTGATAGGATTACTATTTGTTAATTAGTATATACCAATACTTTGTATCATACTATTTTAATTGACCACATTAGAACATAAAATATTTTCTAACATACATTCAGGAAGATTAGCTGAGTCAAGTGTTTTCCAGTATTGTATGGTTGCATGGAACTATTCGCCTTAACAAATTCATAGCTAGCTTGTAAAAAAAAATCCCTTTATCAGTGGTCACTTAAAATGTTTTCGAAAGTATGCCTTACATTCCACCTGACTTGTGAATAGTAGTGTAGCACCCCATCTCAGAGGACAGGAAAAAAGAAATCCCTAAAAAGGAAATCTCCAAAACAAAACAAAACAAAAAGATAGTTGAATTGTCCTGGAGAGGTAATATGTGAGCAAACGCTCCAAGAGGAAACGGAGACCTAGTAGAGCACGCAGGAAGGGCAGAGTGCAAAGGTTTGGGGAGCTGCTTCAAGCCTCGTGATCAAGCGTGTTTACATCACTAACCACAAATTCTTCCAGCCCGCCCTAGAATTCTGGGAATATGATTGAAGCATATCCCGTAGACGCAGCTAGATTCATTCAGAATAATGATTTAATATTTAGTGCTGTTTCACCGTTTTATTCCACACTGTACTTGGAAGCACTTACCACCCCTGAATTAATCAGCAGCATCCTCCCCCGGTTCTCAGGTCTTCCCCACCCACCTCCATTAGCATGCTGCATCTCCACCTTTGCAGATTCGGTTATGTCCGCAGTGACTGTTACTCCCCTTTATTTCACACAGACATGTCGAAGTTGCTGATTAATACATCTTGGATGACTTGTTGCATTTTTATTTTCCCCTCTGGCATTGTAGATTTTTGTATTGTATATCTTTAATCCTAAAAGCATTTACTAAGAAATCTTGATCCTAATGCAAATAATCCAATTAGTTTGATTTTAAAATTCTTTCCTTCTCTCCTGTGGCTTTATGTTTATTGTTTCAGAGTCTCTTAAAAGAAAACACAAATTTTGGAAAAATACAAAAAACTTACAGTACAATCAAACTGAGTTAATTAAAAATTTTTTTAAATATTGAACGACACAATTTGAACATTATAACTATATTAATATATGTTAATAACTGTATTAATATAATTCATTAAGCAAAGCAAATATATACAACATACTTATCTTGGGCAATATTAAATACTTTTCAAAAGGGGTAGGTAAGTTTGGGCTGTAATTTTGGGACTGCTTTCAGCCAAACTGTGTTAAGAGTTAGAGCTTTCTGTTACTGAACTCTGTCATGCTGCTTCTCTCTAACTTGTGCATTTCTGTGAGATTCTGTTCTGTTCTTTTACAGGCAGTGTGTGAAGAAGCAGTCAAGACTGGGCCTCAAGTGGGTCTTTTTCTAGATGCAGTCGTTTTTGGAGGAGAAGACTTTCGAGCCAGTATAGGTGTCAAAGATTCAGTTCTCTTTCTCCTCTCTCCCTCTCTCCTTCTCTCTGTGTATATAATTTTTCTTTGCCCCTTCACAAGCCTACATTTACATGACAACATACATTTGCCAACCATGACAATGGTTTTTCAGCCGAATGGGCAACACTTCCTGATAATGTAGGACACTTCATAGTTGTCCTGCTTCCAGAACATGACATTACCACTTCTGTTCATTTATAAAATAACTAATAAAAAACCTGTTGCAACCTCAAATGTATTCAGAAATAGATGGCATCTACGTTGTTCATAATAAGTATATTATGTTGCTTAAATATTTTTTCACATCAGTCTGAGGGCTAGCTAGGCTTCTAACACAAACTTAAAGCAATTTCACATTTGCTTTAATGAATAATATTCTATTTTAAATGTAGTATGTAAATATTATTTAAAATAAATCTTAAATGCCTCCTAAAATATATTTCAGAACTCTTACTATTATTAACTAGTCATTGAGATAGTACGCTTGTTTTCACTGATCTTCCCTGTCCCTTGGGCTTGATGTATCTGGTCTGGGCGCGTGTATAACTGGAGACGGTGGGTGCATCTAGGAAGGAGGCCAAGGTCACAAGTGTCTCAGAACCACGGTACAGTGACCTGAATACAGGAGCTTTTCCTGAGCAAATATAAACAGACACTCTCCCTGGTGCCCCCACCCCTAGGGTGAAAAAAAAAGGAACGTATTTTAATACCAGCCTTTCCTGGAGACTTTTGTGTCGCCAACAGTTTAGTGGACACTTTCTGCTTCTCTCACAATGAGTGCCCTTCCGTTTCCCCAAGTTCTCCATCCAAACCCTGAAGCCGCAGGATTTGGCTCAGAATCTCAGTTATCACAGGGCATTGCAGCCACAGCGCATGAAATTCTGTGCTCAGTGAGAGAAGTTAACCATTTCCTTGCACAGCTGCCGGGCACCTTTTGTGGTGCTATCTTTGGACTGACACTTTCCAAGCACTGGCAAGAAGGAGTCATACCAGGAGTCATTTGTGACCTATCAAGTCACTGGTGATTCTGTCTCCTGAGGTGGGGGAAGGGCCTTTTCTTAATGCACACACAAGTAATTATGCTGAAAGATGCCTTGCAAGTGGCACTTAGGAGATTTAACTCTCCCTCCACGTATCCCTCTCTTCGTTTATATTTGAATCATCATTTTGCTGGGGAGCAATTCCCAGAAAGACACAGAGGTCTTTACAAACTGAGTTTTTATACTAAATGTATATGGGTTTAGTTTCCAAAGTTAACTGCTCCTTTTCCTGTCGACATCCCATTTTCAGGTGCAACAAGTAGTAAAGAAACCCAAGATATTCTCTACGCCCGACAAAAGATTATTGTTGTAGCGAAGGCCTTTGGTCTACAGGCCATAGATCTGGTGTACATCGACTTTCGAGATGGAGAGGGCCTTCTCAGGCAGTCGAAAGAAGGAGCTGCAATGGGATTTACTGGTATGATTCTTGATGACATCTTAGAAAGCAGTGTCTGGATTCACAAACATTCTAGAAAAATAGAAATTTAACCAGAAATCAGTGTTTCTCCTTTAGCCAGGTAGCTCCTATACTTATCCCATTATTTGAAACACCAAAAAAAAGCCATCCAGGGGCAAGAACCTGCCAAACAAATTGTCAGGTTTTTCTTTGGCTCTGCAAGTCCACAAACAAATCACTCATTTTATTTTCTCTTTATATTAGTGACCATTTTTTTCCCCCTGTCCTCTTATGGATTTTGTTGCAGCTTTTGCCGACACGAGGGGAAGGATGAAGCTGTTATTGAAGTGTTTTTGCGTGAACTGCCATAAGATTTGGGGTTGATGGTAGAAGAAAAATTTCCTCAAATAGCCCAAATAGTAGTAACTCATTTCTGAAAAAATTTTGGTTATATCTTTTCTGATTTTTTTTTTTCACTCATAACTAGGTTTTTATTCTTCTGCCACTTCAAGCCCCTCCTTTCTCTCCCACCTCCCAGTAAGTGTCTATGCACCTGGCGACACCTACGGGCATTGGCTGGCACTAAGATCAGCGGGTCCCTCGCAATCCGGTCCTGGAGTGCAAGCGGATATCTGTTGATTGGTGTGTCCGATCACTCAGGTCCCCAGGAGCCCAGGGAGCAACTGAAAATTGTGTTTTTACAACAGAAATCTATTTTTTGAGAAACCACAATAGGATTCTATACCCAAACACATGCCTGCAGTTGTGCACACACACATTCACACACGTGCCACCATGGATAAAAAAATACACTACAATTTTATTCTTATTTGTTCTTCTGCTGCAAGTTCTAAGAATCTTATGCTCAAAACCATATCCAGACAATAACAAAAAGAGACAAGCATCCATGCTATATCCCTTTTGTATATAGTATATATTTGAAATGTGTCCAGGTAGGGGTTACGGAAAGAAACATTTCATAAGGTGGCCTTAAATGGAAGACGTATCTTAATAGATGAGTATTTAACCCAAAATAAAACTGAAAGGCATTAGAAACAATTTTAAATGTTATATTTGAATTAAATATAGCTTCAACATGTGATTTTGTGTTTTTAACATAAAGAGCTGTAGTATGATCCCCACAAATGTGTTTAATATATAAATAAATAAATGAGTATGATCTTTTATAGGGAAATATTTTTGCATCATTGAACTCTTAATAAATGAATCCTCCCTACATTTAATAGTGACTGAGAAAGAGAATCCCTCTACCCCGGCCCTGGGGTCGTCCTTGTCCCTGTTGCCTGTTACACCTGCCTTTTCCCAACAACCAGTTAGGACGCAGCCCAAATGGAAAAGTTGGAGAAAAACTCCATGAAATCTATCTAATAGACCCCGATGTTGTTGGTCTAAAATGTGTGGCATTGGCTGCCAAGCAGCCAGATGTTGCTCTGAAATGGGCCCTAATGCAATGAAAAATAGAAAACACTGAATTGATAAGAGCCTCTGTCACCATCATTCAGTATAACCTGGGTGTCCTCTGTCTCCTCCGGGGTAAAGGTGGGTTCCAGAACTTCTATAAAAGAGTTTGAGCATTTCTCCAAGATACAGGACTGAATTAAATTGGTTCCTAATTCAATCACAGAAGACAAGTTATTTCAAATCAGATTTAAATTTCTAGACTGTGCCCAACTCAGCATGAGGAGCTTATGGGCTTGGCACTATTGTTTCTCAACAACGGGGAGTATTAAATCACACACACACAAAAAAAAAAGGAAGGGGGGACTGGGGAGGCACAGAGGGTACAGTGCCCATTATCTATTCAAGTGAACAAGTCAGTAAAGTAGGGAGCTACACTTTTATAGCTGTTTTGCAATTTTTAGAAAGAAGGTCTTTGTTGTCCCAATTATATTTCTCCATGCCAATAAAAGGTAATTAGTCTGATAAGATATGAGATTATTTGTAGTATTTTTAAACAATAAATGATTTAAGGAGTATTTCAGGCCGCTCATGATCTGTTTGTCCTAATTATTGGTCATTTAATTGCCATACTTTGTGCTTTGCTCAAGAAGGGAAGAGAGAAAGGAGAGGAGGCAGGAAGGAAGGAAGGAAAGAAGGGGAGATGCATATCCTATTCAAAGCAGGTGGTTGAAAGGTTTAAAAGCCAATGAAAGTATTGTGTTATCCATGACACTGCTAAGAAACACTCAGTCTATGTTATAAATCCACATGGATTTCCTGTACTTTTAAAAATTATATATATTTCTAACAAGGTGTAGTTTTTTAAAAAGTTAACCATGCATCAAACAGTAGGTTATAGTTTCTTTTCTGCAGTCATTGTTTCACAGAGCCACAATCCATGTAGATAGATTTTAAATCAATGTGTTAGCTGTATAAGTGGCTATTAACTTTAGGAATTATTTTTATAAAAAGAAACCAAAAATTAATCTTGGAATAAAGCTTTAACAGCTGACTTGGTCATCACAGTTACCCCAGTACTTCATGCTGAGAAGAAAGATTATAAATATGAAGCACTATAGGTTTTCTTCTTTTTTTGCAGTCTTTTGTGGAAGACAAAAATGACACCATCATACAGTTACCTAAAAGACTTGACAGGTATTGATTTAAAGCACGATATATCAAGTGGTACTGTAAAAAGGATTTCATGGTCATAAATTTTAATGTCTTCCAATTTTGCACCCTCTCAGTAACTTGTCAATAACAACTCTTCTGTATAAAATATTTGTTTCACTTCCACATGGCATTAAAGTCTGATGTTCAGTTGTTGGGGGTATATAAGATTCGACAAAAGATAACTTCACATGTGAATGTTGATCAATTTCTAAAAGCTAACACATATCTTAAAATTAGCCTCATTATCAAAATATGAGTACTTGCAAGCCATCAGTAGCTTCACAGTATTTTAAATAGTTTAGGTTTTGCTCCTCAACTTATAGTGTCTGAACCAAGAAGTTCCCATGAAATCTGGCTTTTTACACATCAGTGTAAATTATGTACATAAATTATAAATTCAGGACTAACAATTAGTACAAAATGACTACCAGAACTGACATCCTTTATTAATAATAGTGTAACAACTATTAGATTACTTAAATATAATTTCAATACCTACAATTGCAAAAAGGTCTCATTTGTCATGTTATTTGTTCCCAGAAATTATTCCTCAAATAATTTAAAGCATCTTTATTTATATAGGGTTTGAATGTTTTATTAGTATGCTGACAGATAAAAATGAAGTAGCAACATGAGGATGGTTTAATTAGGCAACCGAAAAGATATTACTATATTTATTCATTTAAACTCCTTTTCACGAAAGACTAAAAAAAATTGTTTTACATTGTTCTGTTTTCTATTTGATAGAATAATGAAAGTAACTGGGATTGACCTTTTTTAAAACATCGAGGATATAATTTAGACTGACTAAATGTTAAAACAACTATTTCAAAAGCAAAGCAAATTGATACACCAACAAATACATTTAACAGAGTAAATTATCATTAAGTGTACATTCATTTTTAAAGAACCAAATATGTCCATAGTTTTATCATGTAATAAAATATAACCTCATCATTATTATAACATTATGTTTCATTTTATTAATGACCTGATTAGATTCCCCTCTTCCCTGATTATTAAACTGCTTTCTAATGACTGCAGGATTTCATAGAATCCTGTGACTCTTACTTTTGTATAATGTTTTTATTTAAGATCCTTACACTTCAAAAAGAACTACAAAGCTTTTTAAAAGCTATTACTACACAGATAAGATTTCATCTGGGGTATCTAAGTATCTATATAAAAGGGAAATACCCATTCTTCATTCTATAAAAAAAAGGGGGGGGGAGGAATCTGGTTATATTTTAGGATAGAGAAACTTTCTGTAATTTTATTTAAACATTTTTAAATGGAGTAGTTTAGAAACTACAGTGTTCAAATCTGCCTTCTACTTTACTGAATAAAATTTTTTAATTGAAATCTAACTTTCTATTAGTGATTAGAAATGACACACCATATTTACCTAAAAGAAAGAAAATTAAATCCATTATTATAAGACACTATTTGATATTAGTATAGTTCTAATGTCTGCTTCTGTAAGCTTTATGGAAATAGACTACTTCTAAAAGAAATCATAGAAGGAGGGATAACGGTACAAAATAAGCCAAAGACAACTTATAAAATTTGAAAGAATTAACATACAATTTTTTTTCTTCAACTCAAAATAATCACTCTAATTTGCAGACATTATCCTTTAAAGTTCCAGCCAAAGCAGTTATTCAACACGCTGCCTAGTCAATCCACCTGTAACTAAAAATGAGAGCTTATCTGCACCAAGGTGGCATTTCTATGGGATCGGAAACACAATTACTCCCATTGTTGTGTTTGTTCTGAGGTGGTATTCTAGAAAGCCTGCCCGATTTTGGTTATTTTCTTTTTAAAATGTTCTAAAATAAGAGTTATTTTACATACAGTCTGTGAGGCATTCAGGAGCCTCGCGTGGTTGAGACATTTTGTTTGAACATCTGTCTGTTGTTCTGTGTTTCCGCTGTTATTAATCTTCTTGTAGGTAAGCAGGTGATACACCCTAACCAAATTGCAGTCGTCCAGGAGCAGTTTTCTCCATCCCCCGAAAAAATTAAGTGGGCTGAAGAACTGATTGCTGCCTTTAAAGAACATCAAGAATTAGGAAAGGTAAATGTTTTATTAATGCCTTGGATGAGACTTGTGTTTAAAATACTATGGAGAAGAATGAAAAAATATTGTTTGAATAATTTTTAAAAACAACTCATATTTTGGTGGGGAGGGTTTGTATTGGGGGGACAGTATTCATTAGCGAGACATTTGCTTAAGGTAAATTTGCTCTTCCGTGTTCCTAGGTATTTCACCCACCGGCTCTCACGTGTCTCATTTTATTCTTTTCATAAACTATATTGGCAGCCTTTGAGAAAATAGAAGTCTGTTTAGTTTTTCTCTATAGACTCTGATGCAGCATTCATAGGAAAATAATTTTAGATCAAAGTGAGAGCAAGTTGTAATGAAATAAACACAGTTTGATCAAATGGTTCTTGTGGAGAGAATAAATAAATTTCAAGTTATTTTAATTTTGCAGGGGGAAAAGTACAAAAAATCTCCTCCGGTTTAGTCATTTAAGAGTAGGAGGTTGTATATGTGTTTCTACCAATTTCTGGACCTGAGATTTGGATAGAATGGAAAGCAAATTAACACTGGAGTTCGGTTGTTCCTAATTTAGTGCATCATTGAGCCCCGCGTTTCCTGCTCTGTGGGTTTCTGCTATGTAAATATTGCAGTGGTGATGCGCAATCTGTCTCCACTTTGTGCCAGTAACACTTAAATTAGGTGTCGCCTGAAGGAAGATTTTATGCTAGTTGCAGCATTGTCAGTTAATTATCTTAAAGGTTATTTGCAATAATACCGTGTGCCTCTTTTTAAGAGGATGGGGGGTGGGGGGAGTTGCATTTATAAATCTATCCTAGAGGTAATATCTAAACATGGCCTTGTTACATAAGGAGTGAGGTTTTGATACCTACAGTGCAGAAGTACTTAGGGGAAAAAGAATGTTGAAACATTATTAAGGTTCTAAGAGTTAAACAGTCCCCCTTACAAAAAAAAAAAAGACACTTTGTTTTCAGTGTGACATGATGTGAGAAATGTCACTTGCACTTTTCACTGGCAGTAAAAACACCTGAAAGCCCCGGGACTTGGGAAAGTGAGTAACAGTATTAAATGGGTCACGCCCTTCCTCTCACTATGGATACCTGCCTTCAATCCCGACCATGCACACATGCTCACCCTCACACTCACGCCAGCTCACCTTTGCACACACTTGCACTTAAAATCAAAAGACGGAATATGTGATATGGAAACATCCCATTTGGACTTATACCACTTTCAGGATAAATAGCATCATTCCATTTCAAAGCAATAGTGGCCATCAGAAAAACAGTGCAGTTCACAGAAAAATATTTTTAACTTGACATTGTGTTCTATGTCCATTCTTATATCTTGACCCAAAAATCCAGATCCTCAAACACCAATATTTACCTAGAGAGCAGAGCCATGTACTTTTTCATTCATTCATGCAAATAACTCTATCCATTCTATTCTTTTGCATGCTTGCCTGAGCATACACTCACTAAATGTTCTCTACCTCTGTGTATACCTTATGCCAGGTGAGGACTGCGTGTGATAAATCCACTGAAATAATAAACTGAGGCAGGATATGGGCCCTCAACCCGGCAGACCAAGCAGAGTTCCAGTCTCGGCCCACGCTGCCCCCATGAACCGTCCATGTTGGTTTCACATTAGATAACGTCAAAGGATGCCACTTGGCATTGTCAGCAGTTAGGGGTATGGAAAAGCTTACCCTAAATTTCAGTAGCCGGCAAACAAGATTCAAACTAGAACCACACTCTTTTACTGGCATTTAAGGTTTTACATGAAGGAAAAACCCACACACATTTCCATTGTATCTTGAAAGTGTTCCCAGGGAAAATCATCTCAAAGTGTCCTTGCCGTTTGATGACGGCAGCTTAAATGTTAAATTCTGAACTTTTTTTTTTTAAATAAGAAATTCCCCCTTGTTGGAGCATAAGCTTTCCCAACGATGCAGCAGCTTTTCTTAACACAGAACCGTAGAAATTAGAGCAGAAGGGAGACTAACTATTAGGTCATTTCTTCCCTGCCCGATTCGGGTAGGTTTGTTTCCTACAGCAAATTCTCCTGGAGCTTTGTCCAGCAAGGTTTAAATGATTCAAGTAATGGGGCTTCCAATGGGGACATATGGTTATTTTATCCCGCTCGCATGTTTCTTTCACTTTGCCCATAAATTGGCTGGTCACAAAAATTGGGTCTGCAGGTAGGTGACTTTGGGTCTTGAGGGGTCTTGGGGTTTAAATAATGTGGGTTCTGTTTGTAAAGATTTAGTCTAAATAAGTTGCTCAGTTGTATAAAGTATCGCTTCCAACAAACATCTAATCTGTTTTATTTCAAATGTGAATCACTGATGAAAAACATACGCCCTCGGATGTTTTGTCCAAAGCACAGGTGACTCTGTCAACGGTGGCAAACTGATGGTTTATGTCCTAGTGAGACACTTATAAATTTCTAAAAGACCTTTTCTCCCCTCCGATGAAAATTTCATTCAAGTAATGTTTTTTAAGTAGACATGACCCAAGAAGGCAAAATTACATAGCTTTGCTTTTCTCTATTTCCTGCTCCCATCTTAAATTATATTCTGACCAGACCAGAGACATAGCTGAAGTTCACAGTTAATGCTGGGTAACTGTGTTTTCTACACTTATAATATTTATTATTGTTATATACTTATTATTATTCAGAAATAAAAGTTCTACATTTTCTTCCTGTCATCTCCAAATAATGAAATTCATGGGAATACTTAGATCATGAGTAGATAAATGACTGGGGTTCAGTCTTTGATATCACATGAATTTTTTTGTTTTATTTTGATTGGAAGGTCTAAGGAAATGAAGTTTGATGCCCTTAGTCTAATGTCAGGTGAAAATACTTCACATTAGAAAAATAATAATCAGCTCATATACTCTGTCACTCTTTGGCAGGTAATGATACTTGTGACTGCTTCGATTCAGGAAACTGAAGATATTTACAGGCCGAAGAATTTTGCCTGGTACAACAGTCCCCACTAATAAGAATTAGGCTATAGGCTGACATTACGGACTGGGGTCATCTTGTATTAAAATCTGTTGGAAAAATGTTTCAACATTCCCTATCCTCGATGCTCCTCTTTTAATTCTCATAAGCCAAAATATTTCTAACTTAGCTGACATCAGTTGTGAGGTATATATATCTACAATATTCATCAAACTTGATTTTTTCTTCCACCCTTCTAGAAAAAAATATGTTTTGAGATGTAACCTGCACGTCATTAATTACTTTAGCTTCAAATTATTTGATAAGATACTTTAACCAGGATAAATCACTTCCATGTGATTTGTTTTAAATTTATAAAGGATTTTCTTAAACGTTAATTTCATCTTTGTCATTGTTTCATAAAAATGTTCATTTCAATAGTATTTGAAAATTCTCCATCAGAATTGAATTTAGTAGTGCTTATTAAAAAGTGTGCTTCTAACAGATTTCGTTTTTATCGACTAAGAATTGCATGTAGTATGAAATTGATTAATTGAAATGGAAATATCTCGAGCAGATTAATTAGTTAATATTAGTTGATGTTAGTGGAAACTATAATTTGTTTATAAATAAATACAGGTAATATACATATTTATACTATATATATATATATTCATGTTAGGTGTATTTTTTCATGTTTGTATTATAAACTCACTGCCAAATTTTTTCTCTTTCCATATTCATCACTTCTTGGGCAAAAATGACAGCTAAAGGAAATACAGTAGTTGATTTTTTTTAAAGATTGATAATCCCAAGAAATCTTACTATAATAATTTACAATTTCTTTCCAAATGGAGGCTCTAGCAGAAAAATGTGAAATAACAGCAAAATGTATTAAGAATAGCAATATATTACATGATCAATTTTTAAAGGTACTTTGCTAAAATATTGATAGCTGTATAGTATCTGTCTACAAATATGGCTTTGCTTCATTTTCAGTTTTCCAAGCACTCTATTTTACTCATATTATTGCCATAAGTGCTTTATTTGGTTTTGGAAGGATTTCCTTAACTTTTGTTTGTTTGTTACATCTTCACAAGCTGGCTAAAAATCAAGGAAGGGGAAGTGTTCATCTTTAAAACCTACATTCAAGTAACAATTATGAAGGTCAAAAACAAGGTTACTACCTGACATAACAACTGTAAACAACACACATAACTGAAATATTCTAATTTCACTGGAGCAAGCGATAATGCAAATTAATAAGTTTATATTTACAAACAAATCCTCTACTGGGATATAAATTAGAAACTTATATCTTAATAAGGAAAGAAAAAATGAAGTAAGAGTTCTTTTTCCTCATGTAAGTCTTTTCATCTAGAAAATTACAATGACTAAAACCCCACACACCAATATTGAAAGCAAATTATTTTCAGAGGTATCTGATTAGGGCTCACACACCTTTCATTTGTGTTTCCAAATGCAGGGCTTTTACAAAAGAAATACTGTTTGGTCCAGATGGCCTTCTAGAAGGCTCCCTGAGAGGACACAGAAGTCTCTCTAGCCAAAAATATTGTTTCCGCTCATTCAAGTGCCAGAAATCCCACTGCCACTCTTTCCCGCAGATCAAATAAGCCATCTACAGACTTGGCTGTTGTCTTAGTCAATTGAAAGGGTCAGTTCCACTAATAGACAAGCGTGTACCCTCCCGCGCCCATGCCTCCATCACCCACAGCCACTTCCCCTTTATTTGTAAGCAGGAATGCTAAAACCAGAACGGAGTGATTCCCAGAGAAAAAGGAAAGAGGAAGGGACATAACTTTACTTTTGAGATTCTTACTCATTGCATGCCTCCCTTTATTTCCTTGTTTAACAGTTTTAGAACTATATGCCACAATTCTGATTTTTAAAAAGTCCAATTCTTAGAAAAAAGCTGAGTGTCGCCAATGATGCCTTGAAGGTTGATTTGGTTAACAACAAATTGCAAATTTTTAAGCATTTAAAGCAAGGCAAGACAATTCTAGTGCTGATCATACCCTGTTTCACACAGTTTTAGTGTCAAA